GTGTTTTTGGGGCCTGCCATGTCAGCACGTGGTGACAGGCTGTGGGGGAATTTGGGGTGAGTGGGTGGGGGGCGTTGCCGTGGGGGTCCTGGCTTTGATTCCCAGCCTGGTCCTGGGTTTCCGTGCTCTGGGGTCGCACGGGGCTCCTGGCTGTGCCGCGTCCAGCAGTGTCTGCCCTGTCTGGTGGGGACAAGTCTCTGAAGAGCCCCAGGGACCGGGGGTTCGGGCATGTGGCTTTGGTGCTGCCATATTTTAGGGAACACCTATTTAGTGAAACGTCCGCTCTCTCAGGCACAGCCTCCCTCTTGCCAGGGGAGTGTTTCAAAGAGCAGGCAGGTCTTGCACGGGGACAGCGGGCACTTTGTCCTGCGTGGGCTCAGGCTTGTGGAAGCTGCAGGACCTACATGAAACACGGGTGGGCTGCATCAGAGGGAGGTGTGCTCTCCCAGGGCTCTGGCCTTGGTCCCCTTATCTTCCCTGCCTGCATTATCTCTGCCTAAGCCCATCTGCAAACAGGAATTCGCGTCCTGTCTCGTGCCTGTGACACGCCTGCACTGCCGCTGCGCTCCTGGCAGAGGCTGTGTGTCCGGTGGCTTTGCCTAGCCAGGGGCTGCAGCCCCTGCCCTCGCCCGGCATCTCGCTTTTCCTGGCCCCCCTGCAGCACTGGGCTCTGTGGCACCACGGAGTGCGGTGCAAAGACTTTTCTGAAGTTATCTAGCATTACCCAAATGTCCCTGGAGCTGGCTGGGGGACTGGAGAGGATGCAGGGCTGGGAATTTGAAGGAAGAAGAGCAACAAAGCTGGTTTGGTCCTGGATCGCGAGCACAGCCCCTGTCCTCTTGTAGCCTGCAGCAGAGGTTTCGGGGTAGGGCCCCGGCGGTGGCAGCCGGCTGCATCCCTGTTGCTGACTCTTGCACTTTTGTTATGAATTTTGTAATGTTTTGGGGCTTATCTGAAGCTCTGACAGCCGGAGTTGGAGGAGCATGTGACAGCCCATGGGATGGGGGGAGCCTGTCTCATCCCTCCCTGTCCAGCAAGAGCGATGTGTGGTGTTGGGCAGAGCCTGGGAGTTGCTGGGGGTTTATTGATTCATCTTTCCCAATCACGCAGCTGCGGAGCGAATCGGGCGGGAGTTTTCAGTGTGGAAGCATCCCTGGGAATCAGAAGGGTCTCAGGCTGAAAGCGGCACGGGGCTTTGTGCAGCGGGGTGCACTGGCCCAAACCTGTTCTGAAAAGCAAGGGGGAAAGGTCCCCTGTGCCACCTTCTGACCGTCAGCGCAGCTGTGTCCCACCTGTCTCCCCTGCGTGTTTGGGGGTGCTGGGGGGGGAGTGCGGCAGTGCGCTCAGCCGCGGTTTGCAGCGCAGGCTGTGGGGATCCCACATGTGCTGCGGAGATCAGTGCTGGTAGTGGTGCTTTGCAAAGTGTTTACCTGGCTCCCTGTGCTCCTCGACAGTGCTTTTCCCTCGAGGAGGATGACCTGAACTTAACGTCGCTGGACGCAGAAACCATCTTGGAGGCCGAAGAGATCCTGGGGACGATGCAGAACTATCTCGACTCCTCTGTGATCTCCATCATCGAGGACCTCTCTCTGAGCGAGGTGGGAGTGCATGTGGGTGCGGGAAGCGGTGGTCAGGCTGGCTCTGGCTGTGGCACGGGTGGGGGTGGTGGCAGTATACCCCATGGCCAGGTCGCCGTGGCTGTGCCCCACTGCCCTCTGAGACTTCCCCTGCCCTTGCAGCAGAGCAAAGCTTGCCTGGATGCGCAGAACGAGCTGTCCCTGCTAACTGCCATCACTGAGATCCTGGACAGCACAGATGATGAGACCCTGTCCCCCTTTGACACCATCATGGATGCAGAGCTGCTGACCTCGCCTCGGGAGCGGGAGAATCCCTCGGTGAGTTGTGGGTCAATCCGACCCCAAAATGGGTGGGAAGATGCTCAAACAGGGCTCTGCCAGGTCCTGGCACGAGGGTGCCCTGAGGTTGTAGGACCCTTAACTCATCCTCTAAATACCACTCCGATCAGCCACCCTGGGATGCTTCTACCAATCAGCAACGTGAGAGAAGGGTTGAGCCAGGCCTGGACTCCCCTGGGGCTCTGGTGTGGGCTTGGGGGGCCATGGCTTTGCATTGGGTCTTCGTGTAGAGCCAGAGATGTGCCAGGGGCTCCCGGGGAGCAGCGTGTCCCCTTCTGCTTGACCAACTGGGACTGCGTGCGCTGTGGGTGAAACAGGGCTGAGTTTGCTTTCGGGCTCTGCGGGGTGACATACATGGCTGCTGTGGGGCCAGGGGTGGGCCTGTCCCCTCCAGCAGCAGAAATCTGCGGCTGCCTCATCCTCTGTCCGTCTCCTCTCTAGTTTCAGAAGTTTCTCAGCTTATCCCGCCCGTCACTGGAGTGCGAGAGCCCTGCCCTGGAGCAGCCCAAGGCTCTCAGGCCTCTCAGCAGCAGCAGCAGCAGCGTCTCTGTGGTTGGGAAGGTGAGTAGCTGAGCAGGGGAAGCTGAAGGACCAGTGTCGGGTTGGTGCTGGGGTAACTGTGTCCCAGGTGCTGCCCCATAGCCCCTGCCTTCCCTCCTGGCACAGGTGTCCTCTCTCAGAAGTGATGCTTTTGCAGGGCACCGGTGGCAGTGGGAGCAGGGACTGCCCCAGCTGGTGGGTGCTGTGGGACTGAGGATGCTGTGGATACCCCTGTAGGGGTGGTGGGTTTCCAGCTCTATTGTGTCTTACTGGGAGGGTCAAAGGTGCTCCAGCTGTTTATCTGCCCAGGGGCTTTGCTGCAGAGTTGCAGCAGACCCAGTTTGCTGTGCCCAGGGAGGCTTGGGTGAAAGCGCAGGAGCTGACGCTACTCTGGTTCCCCTTCCCAGACCGACACAGACCTGTCTTGGGACCGTGCCGCTCATGGCCTCGAGGACCCAGCACTGCCGAAGAAGCAAGTCTGCAGCACGCCAAGGGTGGAGAGGAAGGTGGGCCGGCACCGGGCCCGAGAGCAGCCCCTGCCACAGCGTAGCGATGGGGAGGAGGAGGAGGAGGAATCTGCCTTGAGCCCAGAGCTAGACAGTGGCATGGAGGCTGGAGAGCTTTGTGTGAGCAGGGCTGGGGTGGCACTGGAGGAGCGTGAAGACCCCTGCATCATCAACACAGGTGACGTGTCCTTGAGCGAGCTGGTGAAGTCCATGCACCCGTACTGCCTGCCCACCTTCACTGTGTGCCTGGACCCCGAGACCGAGCCCGTGGCCAAGGAACTCCTGAGTGGTCCTGTCTTGCTGGAAATTGTGCCTGGCGAGGGGGAGAGTGTGGAGATCCCCGTGGTCCTGCAGCCCTTGACTTCCAGCGTCCCCAGCCTGGAGCCCCAGCTCCTGGCAGCGGAGGAGGATACCGGGGAGTCAATCCCAGAGGATCGAGAGGAGCTGCCAGGAGCTCCAGCCCAGGAAAACAGAATGGAGGAGGAGAAGGAGAAGAAACCACTTGGGAAGGAGCCCTCCTGCACTACCCCAGAGAGCACGTCATCGCCGGAGAAGGCAGCACCCAGAGCCCAGAGCCCCGACAGCAGCTCCCAACCCAGCACGGGGGCCCCAGCAGGTGGCAAACGCGAAGGCTCTGAGAAGGGACGTGGACGTGAGAGAGCAAGGAAGAGTCGGAAAAAGAAAACAGAGGAGGACCAAAGCGAGCAGGCCAGGCCAGGCAGGGACTGCGTGGCCCAGCGGCTCCGCTCATCTGGCTCCGGGCAGCCCTCTGGCCAGCAGCTCACCATCCGGCGGCGGACAGCCTGTCCCTCTGCCCAGGTCTCAGACTTCCTGGCACGGCAGCTGGAACGAGCCCGGAAGGAAGGGCAGATGGAGCTGCATGCCGAGCGGGCGCCACGGCCCCGGGGCAGGCCCCGGACCACAACGGGGCCCTCCCTGCTCGAGAAAGCACAGCAGGAGCTGCAGAAGGAGCTGGCACCAGAAATAGTGAGTGTGGCTCCAGAGAAGGCTGAGACTGTGGTGGTGCCTCTGGAGAAGACTTCACCAAGCATGGAGGAGCAGGCAGCAGCAGCATGT